CCTCCTGTAGAGGACTAGAGAAAGGAAAGGGCTGTCCTGCAGTTTATTGGTTTTGGACTGGGCTTCTCCCTGTAGCTACCTTGGAAGGGCTTATACTAGTGAGTAAACTCAAACAGCATCTGGTAGCTGGGACTGAATACCAGGGGAAGAGGAGTGTGTGGAAATCCCAGTAGCTTGGCTACTGCCAAGGCACCGCCATTGTGGGAAGGCAAACTGGGAGGAATAGTCCACAGGGTCCTAGTGTATAGCTGGCTCTGGTGCCATCTGGTGAGCTTGTGCAACCATCTTTAGACCCCCACACCACTAAGAAGGACATGTTGTTGGGGGCACTGTTTGGAAGGTCAAGATGTGCCTCTTAAGAAACCTGGTAATTGGCTCGGCGCCTGTGGCTCAAGTGGCTAAGGGGCCAGCCATGTACACCCAACGTGGCGGGTTCGAATCCAGCCTGGGCCCGCCAAACAACAATGACGGCTGCAACCAAAAAATAGCTGGGCATTGTGGCGGGCACCTGTGGTCCCAGCTACTTGGGAGGCGGAGGCAGGAGACTCGCTTGAGCCCAGGAGTTGGAGGTTGCTGTGAGCTGAGATGCCACAGCACTCTACCCAGGGGGACAGCTTGAGGCTCCTATCTCAAAAAAAAAAAAAGAAAAGAAACCTGGTAATTTCTGGTAAGAGCTTCAGGATCCCAATCTGGCAAGGACTGAACTATGGTGAAGCAACCAGGCCTGGATTGAGGGCAAATAAGTCAGGAAGACTGGACAGGGTAGCCTCAGCAACTAGATAGGGGCTTCCAATCCTTGTCTTATATAACAAAATGACTGTGTGTGTTCTCCTTCTCCTAACACCACAGTGCCACCTAATATATAGGAAATATACTGTTATGCACACACATAAAATGTGTTTTTTTCTTTTTTCTCAATTTTTTACTTAGTTTTTTGTTTTTCTTGTTTTGTTTTGTTCAGTCATATTTTCATTTTTTTTATTTTTACTTTGTTCCATAGCAAGAGCTGTTCCAATTTTCCTATGGTTTTTTGGACCCTTTTATTCTTTCCATATTTTTTATTTCTCTCTTTTGGTAGAGATTTCTCTACTTTTCTCATCTTTCCCACCAACATTTCTCATACAACAACTAACATATCCCTTTTTATCTTCATCTCACATATTTCTATTTTTAATTGTCTTTATCTATTTTTAAGTTTTGTTCTGTTCTCTAAGGGCTAAGGGGTCATGACATTGGTCTTCCTGGTGGTCATGGCATTGGTCAGGCTCAAAAAGATTATGAGATCATAGTCTAAGGCATCCTATATTTAGCCTTGGAACGATGGTAATGGTAGGTCCCCACTGTGACATACTGCTGATTTTTTTCTATATTTGGTGGATTCTTCCTGGCAACAGGGTGAGAACGACTGCCTGATAATACCCTACAGTGCTATTAATGAGATCTTCCACAGCTTGTGAAAGAACACTGAAATCACAAGCTTAATTAGGAGAGAAAATTATAAATCTGGGTTATAAAAGTGGTTCCCTGTGAAAAATCCATATTACAGTAATTATCTAATGACAATCTACACCATTTTGAGACAGAGTCTCTGCTGTTACCTGGGCTAGAGTGCTATGGCATCAAAGCTCTCAGCAATCTCAAACTCTTGGGCTCAAGCAATCCTCTTGCCTCAGCCTCCTGAGTTGCTGGGACTACAGGCACTCACCCTAACTCCTGGATACTTTTTCTATTTTTGGCAGAGACAGGATCTCACTCTTGCTCAAGCTTGTCTGGAACTCTTGAGCTCAAGCAACCTACCTGCTTGGGCCTCCCAGAGTGCTAGGATTATAGGCACAAGCCACCATGATCGGCCTGTACCAGATAGTTTTAAAAGTGAGGGGTAAAAAAGTGATGTTTCACTTCTTTTCTGAAGAAACAGGTCGTCTCTGAAGGTTAAAGGATATCTGTTTCTTGAAACAACCACGTGAGCTATGGCCATGGCTGTATCTGCAAGCACTAGAAGCACCCAGGAGGCCAAGGTAATGCTGGTGGCATGCATCACCACAGGATCAACTTTGACAAATATCACCCAGGTTACTTTGGGAAAGTTAGTATGAGGCATTACCACTTAAACAGGAACCAGAGCTATTGCCTAACTGTCAACCTTGATAAATTGCAGACATAGACATAGGTAAATGCTGCCAAAAACAAGACTGGATCTGCTCCCATCATTGATGTAGTACAACTGGGCTAGTACAAAGTTTTGGGGAAGGGAAAACTCCAAAGCACCCAGGCATTATGAAGGCCAAATTCTTCAGCTGAACAGCTAAAGACAAGATTGAGGGTGTTAGAGGGGCCTGAAGCCACATGGAGGGGAGGTTCATTAAATACTTTTTTCTTGTGGAAAAAAAAATATTATTGCACGCATCATTACGTGCCTTAAAACGAATTTTGTGATCAGGCACAGGAATCTCATCCAAGGTGAAAAGATCCTTGAATGCAGGAGTTTAAGAACAGCCTGGAAAACAGAGTAAGACCCTGTCTCCAGAAATTTTTTTTTTAAAAAAATAGCTGGACATGGTGGCATGTACCCAGGTTCTAGGTACTTAGAAAAATATATATATATGTATTAAAATATATGTATGCATATTGTATCTACTATGAAGAAAATTGACATATTAGGAAGTTGGACCTGTTTTCATTGTGTGGCATTAGGCACACCTGGGTTCAGAAGTTGTCTTACTGATTAGTTCAAGTAGTTCATTAAGACAAAGGAGGGATACGGGGACCCTTTGTGCTATCTTCACAACTTTTTTTTGGTAGCGATGGTGGGGCTCACTATGCAGCCATGGCTGGTCTTGAATTCCTTAACTCCAGTGATCCTCCTACCTTTGTTGTAGGAAGACCAGGCCCAACGCAGAGAACAAACACTCAAGCACTGTATTTAAAAGAGAAAGGGCTTTCTTCTAGCTGTCTGAGCAGCAGAATACCCAAATCGCTGCTCCTTGGCTAGCTCTGTCTTCTTCCTTTTATCTCCAGTCAAAAAGTTCCAGCCCACGAGTACCTTTCTCATTGGTCAGTTTGATTAAGCTGGAGAAGTGGGCTCCAGACTTTTACAGAGCAGGGGCTTTTACCTAAGGTGATCAGATTTTAACATTGGTAAAGTGGGACACCATTGATGGGGGTGGGGCAGAGGAGGGGTGTGTTCTTCATCAAAAATTTGGTCTATATGGAGCAACAAAAATTTTCATAGAATGCTAAAATAGTGTTGTAATTTTTTTAAATTTCAACATAAGTACAATTTACAAATGTAATACACTAAAAAAAAAATTTATGTATAGGGCAGTCCCTATGGCTCAAAGGAGTAGGGTGCCAGTCCACCTGGGCCACCATGCCCAGGAGGGGAGTAGGGAGTTTACATTAGCCTTTTCATTTCCAAATGAAGTTACATTAACCTCTTCATTCCCAAATGGAGTTACATTAACCTTTTCAGCAGCCAAAAACCGTATATTCCCTTCCCGTTGTCCCCCCCTTCCCTAGCTTGTCGTGCATTCTTTCCAAAAATCGGGACTTTTTTAAAACTCTGCAGGATGTGGGACAAATTGTTGAAAATCAGGACTGTCCCGCCAAAAGCAGGACATCTGGTCACCTTACTTTTACCCGAGCTTAAACAAGTGTCAGTTTCTAGGTCCCAGGAAGTTAAATTTCTTTAAATTACTAAGAGTGGAGACACCACCGGAGAGAACCTTGCAGCTGTGTCCTTGGGGTCTCCTTGAGAAGACCTAGGCTCTCTTAGACCTCACTATTTCTGGGTATCCTCTCTCACTTTGGCCTCCTAAAGTCTGGGATTACAGGCGCCAGCACTTGGCCTACACATTTTCTATAAACCTAAATCTATTCTCGACTTTAAAGTTAATTAAAAAAAAAATCCACCTTTGTCAATTAGCAACCAAGGGCCAACACTTGGTTATAACTTTCCAGGTCTGAAACAGGTTTTAACTTTCTTTCACTCTATTCTCAAAGCTTGAAATGAGCTCATTTTGGCTCAGCGCCAGTAGCTCAAGAGGCTAAGATGCCTGCCACATACACCTGAGCTGGTGGGTTCGAATCCAGCCAGGGGCCGCCAAACGACAGCTGCAACCAAAAAATAGCCCGGAGTTGTGGCGGGTGCCTGTAATCCCAGCTATTTGGGAGGTGGAGGCAGGAGAATCGCTTGAGCCCAGGAG